GTTGGAAATCTATTAAGGAGATATATAGCATTGTTCATTGCTTCAGCCCAAAACTCATTTGGAATCTTCTTCTCAAACATCAAACACCTGGCCATCTCCATCACTATCCTGTTTTTCCTCCCACACACTCCATTTTGCTGAGGAGAATAAGGTACAGTCAATTGGCGCTTGATTCCCTTAGAGTCACAGAATTCGTTAGACTGGTCACAGCTATATTCAGTCACATTATCTGTTCTGATTGCTTTAATTCTGCAGCCGCTTTCATTCACCACAAGGTTCTTGAATTTTTTAAACACTTCTGCAACCTTAGATTTTGTTTTCAAGAAATAAACACAACACATTCTTGTCATATTATCTATGAAAAGAATAAAGTATCTGCTGCCATTCAAAGTGGTTGTTGTCATTGGACCACACACATTTGAATGGATCAGCTCAAGTTTGTTTAAGGCACTTCTTGACTTGTTTTTTTGGAAATGGAAATCTTCTTTGCTTTCCAAATTGGCAAACATCACATACACAGGAATCTTCATTGATCTCAAACATATTTTTAACAAGATTAAATTCATGCAAGTGTTTGAATGAAGTATACTTTGCATAACCAAACCGCCTATACCATAGAGAGGACTTAACTACTTCAGATGAAAGTGCATGTGTGGTGATTTTTTCCAGTCTATAGGAAAACTTATATGCTTCTTTTCGACAGTCATTAACTCATAGCCATTTCCATCTAGTATAGTGCAGGCTCTGTTTTTGAATATTCAGATGTGATTTTTCTCAAGCAATTGGCTTACACTAACCAAATTTTGATCTATTGCTGGCACATAAAGAACATCTGATATGTGTAGTAACCTATGGTTGATTATAACCTTAATATTTTGATTATAACAAACAAGCCATTTTATTTACTAACATTTGATTTTGAGTGATGATAGTTTAATGTTAAACTTGATCAAGAATTGCCAAATGAACACATCATAAATCGGCCTCGACATGAAGATCAAAGTGAAAGTTAGCATTTGAGATGATAGCGATATGCATGCGC